TGGATTTTGTTTCATGAAAAGGACTCACAAAGTGCTCAGTCACCAAGGATTGAATTAATAGGCCCAATGTGACATCACCTGATTTCCCCATTCCTAATTTTTTGGGGGTAAATATATATATATTTCAATACTATCAATCTGGAAACTGACATTATAAATATTACATTGTTATCAAAACACTAATAGCAATAAACAATAAAAAGGAATCTTGCCAAAAAAAGGTGAGAAAGGTAATTTATTTTATATTAAACTAGGCTTAGATATTTCTTAACCCAATGCCGCCAGGGAAAATGAACAAAAAATGGGGAAAATGCTGTGCCTATTTTCTTTATTTTTTGAGAAATGTCTGCCCATAGATGGCTCTGCTAGTGCCAGATTTGAAATGGCGGGAAAAACGTATTTTTCATTAGTACTATGAATATCGATGGTGTTATTTTTATTATAAACATTATAATTAGTATAATGTTTTTTAACATTAGTAACAGTAAAATAAGATAATGTAAAATATTTCGTAAATCAAAGAAAGGGGATTATGGGCGAGACAGACAGCACTCATACCTGGCTCATTGGTGATTTAGTACAAGTGTTGCCACCTATGTGTAAAAACAATCAAACAAGTACTCACAGTGGGTATAGCACATACGTACACATCATACCCGTCGGCACTGGGTTAATGTAAATATTTCCTTAAAATTATTTTGTGTAATCAAAAAAGTCCAAATAAATCAAACATCCAAACACATGTTCACCAAAAATCTGACATGAGCTCATGGTGATATTTCAAAAAACAGATAATAATGAAATCAGCACATAAGATAAAATACACTCTCGCCTTCCACCCTTCTCTCACTCTCGCCTTCCACCCTTCTCTCACTCTCGCCTTCCACCCTTCTCTCACTCTCGCCTTCCACCCTTCTCTCACTCTCGCCTTCCACCCTTCTCTCACTCTCGCCTTCCACCCTTCTCTCACTCTCGCCTTCCACCCTTCTCTCACTCTCGCCTTCCACCCTTCTCTCACTCTCGCCTTCCACCCTTCTCTCACTCTCGCCTTCCACCCTTCTCTCACTCTCGCCTTCCACCCTTCTCTCACTCTCGCCTTCCACCCTTCTCTCACTCTCGCCTTCCACCCTTCTCTCACTCTCGCCTTCCACCCTTCTCTCACTCTCGCCTTCCACCCTTCTCTCACTCTCGCCTTCCACCCTTCTCTCACTCTCGCCTTCCACCCTTCTCTCACTCTCGCCTTCCACCCTTCTCTCACTCTCGCCTTCCACCCTTCTCTCACTCTCGCCTTCCACCCTTCTCTCACTCTCGCCTTCCACCCTTCTCTCACTCTCGCCTTCCACCCTTCTCTCACTCTCGCCTTCCACCCTTCTCTCACTCTCGCCTTCCACCCTTCTCTCACTCTCGCCTTCCACCCTTCTCTCACTCTCGCCTTCCACCCTTCTCTCACTCTCGCCTTCCACCCTTCTCTCACTCTCGCCTTCCACCCTTCTCTCACTCTCGCCTTCCACCCTTCTCTCACTCTCGCCTTCCACCCTTCTCTCACTCTCGCCTTCCACCCTTCTCTCACTCTCGCCTTCCACCCTTCTCTCACTCTCGCCTTCCACCCTTCTCTCACTCTCGCCTTCCACCCTTCTCTCACTCTCGCCTTCCACCCTTCTCTCACTCTCGCCTTCCACCCTTCTCTCACTCTCGCCTTCCACCCTTCTCTCACTCTCGCCTTCCACCCTTCTCTCACTCTCGCCTTCCACCCTTCTCTCACTCTCGCCTTCCACCCTTCTCTCACTCTCGCCTTCCACCCTTCTCTCACTCTCGCCTTCCACCCTTCTCTCACTCTCGCCTTCCACCCTTCTCTCACTCTCGCCTTCCACCCTTCTCTCACTCTCGCCTTCCACCCTTCTCTCACTCTCGCCTTCCACCCTTCTCTCACTCTCGCCTTCCACCCTTCTCTCACTCTCGCCTTCCACCCTTCTCTCACTCTCGCCTTCCACCCTTCTCTCACTCTCGCCTTCCACCCTTCTCTCACTCTCGCCTTCCACCCTTCTCTCACTCTCGCCTTCCACCCTTCTCTCACTCTCGCCTTCCACCCTTCTCTCACTCTCGCCTTCCACCCTTCTCTCACTCTCGCCTTCCACCCTTCTCTCACTCTCGCCTTCCACCCTTCTCTCACTCTCGCCTTCCACCCTTCTCTCACTCTCGCCTTCCACCCTTCTCTCACTCTCGCCTTCCACCCTTCTCTCACTCTCGCCTTCCACCCTTCTCTCACTCTCGCCTTCCACCCTTCTCTCACTCTCGCCTTCCACCCTTCTCTCACTCTCGCCTTCCACCCTTCTCTCACTCTCGCCTTCCACCCTTCTCTCACTCTCGCCTTCCACCCTTCTCTCACTCTCGCCTTCCACCCTTCTCTCACTCTCGCCTTCCACCCTTCTCTCACTCTCGCCTTCCACCCTTCTCTCACTCTCGCCTTCCACCCTTCTCTCACTCTCGCCTTCCACCCTTC